TCCTTTTTTTTCTCTAACAGATGTCTGCTGTACGTACGCTGCAGCTCCTCAAACATTGAACAAAATAAAACAAGTAAAAGCATTTTTTTTTTTTCAAATTACTTTCCAAATTTAGAAATAATTTTCCTTCATTTAAGTAGTGTGAGAGCGCAAGGATGCTCTAAATGTGTTGGCATAGCAACGTGATACTTCCTGTTTCCTTTTCCGCCTGTCCTACGAAGGCCGTCTCGTTTAATTCTAGGTTGAGGACACTTCGTATAAGCATCCTACAGAGGATGCGACCTCCAGAGGATTCCGGAGGGCGCAGCCTTCTAAATGAGACACAGCTATTGTTTTCATTTATCATGCGTCTCCTAGCAACAAACCGCATGTTTTAGCATGAGATTGTTGTATTCAGAATGACTTAAAAGTCTACTAGTCCTTCAGTGTATGATGCCCAATTTATCTCTATAACCATTTACAAGTGCATGATACCTAAAGGAGATTTAAACAAGTCCGCTGCAAGTGACATGCAATTTTATGTTTCAGCCACAGATGGCGATAGAGAGACAATAGTTGCGTATTGGCGGTACTGTAGTGTTGTAGTACTCAAGACCGGTCTTGGTCTTTCTTGAGTTCAAGACTGGTGAAGACCACAACTGTGGGGATATCACTAAAGTGCCGGTGCATTGTCTGATTTATTTATAACCATCATTAATTTGAGTAGATGTAAAACTTCCTGTTTCAAATGCAATCAATGATTAAATAAATAACTAAATAACAATAATAAATAATTTGATTTATACCAGTGGATCTCAACATTTTTGACTTCAAAGCCTCCTTATTTCGACAATATTTGAAGGCCACCCTCCACTCACCCAAAATATTTTAGAGCTTAGCATGACTAGAAAGATAAGAAAAATAACAAAATACTAAGAAATATTTTTGAATTTGTAGTTGTTTTAGCTTATTTTAATGCTTGTTTAATCTTATTCTAAATAATTTTAAGTTATCTTGAGGCCCCAGTGGGCCCCGGCCCCCTGGCTGAGAACCACTGATTTATACTGTTATGCCGGGTTAGAAATTAATGAGTAATTGTGTCAAAAATGTCACCAAAATTAATACAAATACCCACAAAATTCAAGATATTGTGGTTAGATACTTACATACTTGTATGAGATCTGTATTTTTTCAAAATATGATACAATTAAGCAATATCACAAGAGCAAAAGAGCTGTTTTCACAAATTTGATATTACTTTTATACAAATATTCAATAAACAAAAGTTATTTTTTAAAACATCATTACTTATGCATTTGTAATTGTCAGTGTTGGGGAAAGTTACTTTTAAAAATCACTAAAAACTCCCTAAAAAAGTAACTAATAATTTTAATTAGTTACTTTTTATGGAAAGTAATGCGTTACGTTACTTTTTAAATCTAGGCAGGGCTTGCTTGTTTGTTTTTGATATATAAAAAGTTCTTATTTTTCAAATGTAAAAACCCTTTCACAACAGAAGTGAAATGAATGCGCCTCAGGCTGAAGCAAAAGTAAATTCATGTCTGTACAGTAGAGAACGAAGCGCATGAAGAATATGACGCAGGAGAAGAAAGCTCAACACTATTCCGCAATAACAAAAATAAAACACAAATGTGTCATTTTTGCTTATTAGTATGGTTGAATTGGATCATCTAAGGTCAGTAGCAAAGATATTGGTTAATAAAATGGGATAAAATATAAATGACATTTGTCTTATTTAACATTTAATCATAGCAGGCTTGTATAGTATTTTGCATAGTTTGCATTTGATTTTGAGGAATACTGAATCTGAGATGAGTAAACACGTGTTCATATTTAGTCTAGAACTACAGTAAGATCATGTTCACACACAACGCTCTGCACTTACTCCTGATTTCTGTCTCCATGGCAACACCAGAGCTGTCACTCAACACATGGAAACAAAGTAACTGGCGTTACGTATTTGAAAAAGTAACTCACTTATTTCCTTTTAAATTAACAAGTAATGCGTTAGTTACTTTAAAAAGTAATCTGATTACGTAACTCGCGTTACCCCCAACACTGATGATTGTACCGATTCAGATGCAGCTTCTGTGCCGCCACTGCAGTGCAAAGATGAATTTATTCTAATTGTATTTAATGATTAAAAATAAGACATTTCTCAAGCAGCAAATTTGGATCTTTCAGATGAATTTGAGTAGTGGTCTCGGATTGGGTGGTCTTGACTATTCCGATTAAATGATTCATAGAATATGTCATTCAGATTTCCCCTAATAATATATTCGATAATGCGTCAAGTGTGAATATTTTACAATGTAGCCGGACTTCATCTGCGTGTCTTGAAGAAGCGGACAACGGTGCGCTGCTTCAAAGCTGCATGAGCGTACAGTGTGCTCAGATGTTGAGAACGCAGCATAGACTCGGCATGAAGCCTTTCTTTCACAGTGTGTGAAACATGAAGCATTTGCTGCAGATATGCCGATGATTCACCACTAAGTGCTGATAATGTTATTCCTCCATCTTCCTCCCCGTTGACTGGCTCTCAGAGCTCAGTTCAGCGCTGTGTGTAGGTGTTCATGTGTGGGTGAGCCCATATTCATTTCATGTTTGCATTGCAGCTTTTTCACTGACAGGTACAAAGAAATCAGATTGTGAAATAATTAATAGTGTTTGGTCATGTTACACTGATTGATAGAAATGTGTGCAATGACACAAAGGTACAAACATAATTGATTATTATGACATGCACAAAACAAAATGGGTTCAGTTAGAAAAAGCCTTGAATATATAAAACACTGTTAAGCCTAAGGAAGCACATGTTCTGTTAGATGAAGGTTATTATTAAACAGACTGTCCTATGGTTTAAACGCAGTACATTTTGTACTTTGTCCATTGATTGATCAGGAAGCATTACATAAGTTCCTCTGAATCACAGATTGAAAGCTCCCGTAAGAAAAGCGGATGTTTATAAAAAGGCATAATGAAGCAGGCTCCTCTCTGTTCCTGATATGAAGGATTTGTTGATGCAAATCATGATGTACAATAGTACGGACGTGCTGCAGCTCTGGAGGCTACAGAAAGATTCACAACCTTGAATTTTCACACCATTTACACCCCCGAGCAATGCTTTCATCCACTCACCCACTCACTCGCTCCACGGCTCGCTCTCTTTCTGACGCTCGCTTTTTCCTTTTTCCTCTTCCATACTGTAATTAATATTCTCTTGTTCAGATTTATCCCTGAGTTCATGACTTTGGGTTCCTCCTGAATATTAGCAATTGTCTTAGTGTTCACAGATGCTGTTGTCTAATGTGTTTGTCACCGTATCGTGTCTGTAACAGCTCTCACCGATGCCAAAGTGCCCACTTCCCATTTCTTTTGTGAGGTTGTTCACATGACCTTTTAAATGTAGCACATATCAGCATGTGTGAAACACCCTGACATCTTACCATAGTATCAGCTAATTTAAAGTCACCGTAAAATCAAAACAGACTATTCTTTTTTTATGGAATATTGCAGTGTTGTTGTTTTGATTTTTCAAATGATTTATCCATGTGCATCATTATTTTTATTTTTATCTTTTAATGCATGTGCTTTAATATAAATAAACAAAAATGCAATAAACTCACATGAGATCCAGCAATAGCAAACAAGAACAATTCAACGATCCAGTCAATTCCAGATGCACAAAATCACGTCCCGCCCTACATTTATTTTTCTCATTCAAAAAGCCATTTATCTTGGATACATCTCACAATAGGGAAGAACATTAAATGCATTTTTATTATTATTATTTTATAATATTTCCTGAGGTGTACTAGCAATCTTAGTATGTTTTTATTTTTTATTTTTCAAACCCACGGTCCTAATTTAGATATAAATGGTCATTTTTCTCTGATTTCATCGTTGTTGAAAGGGCGTGTCTACTGTGAGACTTCAGTGTAAACACCCACGGCTGTGATTGGCTGACGTCTTTGCATATTAAATGTGCATTACGTCTGGGACTCTTGCATTTTTACTATAACTGCTGCCTAGATGAACTAATGGTGAAAAGTGTTGATTATTCTGCACTAGCATTATATTTAGACCTACTCCCGTCGCATCAGAGGTTGCAGAGCTGCAACACAGTCTGAGCACACAGTACTTTCAATGATCTGCAATCTCACACATTCTTTCATCAGAACTATTACAGTGAAAACATGATGTAAACACGAGACTCGTTGAGCAGTGTCAACTGTGGCATTGACTATAATGGGAGTTTTGACGAAAATGCAGAAATCAAATCCCTTTCAGATCAGATCGCTTTCTTTATAGAAGTAATGTAAATAAATTATATAATCTATAAATGTAATATAATAATTTAATCTTAACACCTTATAATCACTACCGTATTTATTCATATAATACATTTATGCTAGAAATGCATTAGTTAATTATACCTAAAGCATTAACTAAGGTTGATGAAGTTTGTAAAGTATAATTTATTATATCACATTTTGTTTTTACATCTGAACTTCTATTGTCACTGTGTAGAGAGTTCAAAACATTGAGAAATAATGTGTTAATATATTGTAAATAAATGCGTTTTGCAATTTCTGTGCATCATAAAGCGCAATTCATGAATGATTGTATAATTCGATGCTAAATCAAGCATGCAATTTTGAAAAATGTCATGTTAAATGTAAAAGAAAAGATATTTCTGTGTCATAGAAAAAAATCAGATTTGTGCCACATTTACAGGAATAGTTCACCCACAAATGAAAATTCTGAACACAAAAGATGTTTTGATGAATGCTGGTAACCAAACCAGAAACAGTTTGGTTCCCAACATTCTTTAAAATATCTTCTTTTGTGTTCAACAGAAATACATAAGTTTAGAACAACTTGAGGATGAGTAAATGATGCCAGGATTTCCATTTCTGGGTGAACTGTCCCTTTAACGGTTTTGTGGACGAAGCCTTATTTCCATTTGTGTTTTTTTTTTCTTTTCGTTCTGTCTGCAGGATTCTGGCCACTGCCGGTTCTCATATGAATATCCCCGTGGATCTGAGGACCCTGAGAGCTGTGCGTGTGCTCAGACCCCTCAAACTAGTCTCCGGTATCCCTAGTAAGTAACTCATCTCATTATTTATCCACCATTATTTAAAATCATTTTGTCACATATGACACGCAGTCTTTAGTATTTAAAGTATTGGCCAGAAGTACTTGCACTAATCCAGATGAATTCCTCCAGGTTTACAGATAGTTCTGAAGTCCATTATCAAAGCGATGGTGCCACTGCTGCAGATCGGCCTTCTGCTGTTCTTCGCCATCCTGATGTTCGCTATCATCGGTCTGGAGTTTTACAGTGGCAAATTACACCACACTTGCCTGCCCTCTCCAGATATACTCGGTATGGAGAATCTTTTCAGCCTTTAACTCAAATGAAACGGGAATGCTGCAGTATACTGGAGCTGCCATGCCATATGCAATTCGATTCTGCCATCTTTGATCCTGGGTGCTCAGTTCTGCTGCCAAGTTTTCTAAGCCAATCACGTGAGCCAAAATGCCATGTGATTTATCATTCGAACGCCACTGGAAAATCATATCTTGACAAATATGATTGGCTGACAGTACCACAGTCCCAAGCTTCTCTCTGTGATATCAAAGGCAGCAGACAAAGAAATACATACTGTGGATCTATTTTACACTCCCAAAAAGAACCAGAGTAGATACAACATCTAATTTTATTAGTAATCTTATTTTATGAATCTTATGAATTGCCATCAATGACACTGTGGCTGAGGTGAAATCTAGGGTGTTTCTCGATCTGAAGGCTGCGTCCTAGTAAGACTGCATCGAAGGCGGTCTCGGGTTGAAGGATCCTTGGAAGGCAGCCTTCATTTTGCGCCGTTCGTTCAACATATTTTGATCATTCATCAAGTGTGTCCTCCAATCACCCACAGTCCGTAGCATATAATTATGAAAAGAATTTCCAGAAAACGAGTCGGCACTGAGCTCGTCCAATTTCATTATGAAATGCAAGACAAAAAGGCGTGTGTTTGCTTTTGTTTTGTTGTAAGTTAATCACATAAAGCACTGTGAGACCACAGATGGTTGTTATTCACTGTACTGCATTGCTTCCCAAAATCATTTTTAAAAGTATTTTCACACCGTGACTGTGGGGGCGGAAACATTTATGATGGGGCTTTTTTTTTTCTTGGTTATACAAATGTTAAGGAAATATTGCATTTGATCATTTTGCAAACATTACGAGAACATTACTTTTGTATGTTCTCTGAACATTCTGAAAAAAGTAACATTTAAAAAATGTTAGGTGAACTAAAACATTTCAGAAAAAAAGTTCCATGAACAATGTTTAAAGTTTTTCAAAACTTATTTTTTTGTTGGTTATATTCAAATATTAAGAGAACATTTGATCATTTTGCAAACTTTATGGGAATGCTACTTTTGGAAGTTCTCTGAACATTTTAAAACAAGTAGTAACTTTTTTTTTTTTTTTAAATGTTACAAAAACTAAAACATTTAAGAAAAAATCCCATGAACAATAATGTTTTTGTGCTAACATTCATATTAAGTTATTTCTGAATGTTCTCTGAATGTCCAAAAATAATACATTTATATCAATTTATATAAATACATTTTTGGCTATATAAAAACATTAAGAAAACATTTAATCATTTTGCAAACATGGGAATATTACTTTTAAATGTTCTTCTGAAATAAGTAGTAACATTTAAAAAAAAAAAAAAAGTTACTAAACTAAAACGTTTCAGAAAAAAAAAAAAATCCTTGAACAATGTATAATGTTTTTATGCCAACATTTCCATTAAGTTATGAAAATGTTATTTCTGAAAGTTTTCAGAATACTATTTTTTTCTTAATTATTTGAATGTTAAGGAAACATTCCGTTTTGTTATTTTGCAAACATTATGGGAATGTTACTTTTGAATGTTCTCTTTGCATTCTGAAACAAGTAGCAACATTTCAAAAAGCGTTAGATGAACGCCCAACTAAAACTTTTCAGAAAAAGTTCCAAATAATGTTTTTGTACTAACATTTTGAGAACATTATTAAAGACCAGATAACTCGAAACAAACATTCTATTTTTTTTTTTTTTTAAATGAACAATCTATTAACGTTACTGGAAGAATGTTCATCACCAAAGTTCTGAGAATGTTCCCTGTTAGTGGATATTCTAGTGCTTAATGCTCCTGAGGACTCTAGAAGCCTCAGAAGGAATGTACAATCACTCAGATGCAGCCTTACAATTGAGAAGCTAAATGAAGTCTGTCATCGCAGACACCACCACTTTAGACGAGGAGGATCACTAACCAACCCAGGCTCATTCGAAATAAGTGCCTCTAAATACATTTCTGCAGCACCATTATTACGTACCTTACTGCACGTTTCACGGCAGTTTCAAAGTGAAACCTCCAGTGAGTGGCACTAAAACGCGGGTTCAATACGTGACCCTGGCACGTTTTTGTGACGTTGATATAGGCACGAATTGCTGTGTTTGTATTACGTTTCTTCAGGTACGTATTGCGGCGGTTCAGAATTCAAATATCCGGGGACTGTCGCTAAAAGTTAATGCTCTATCGTGTTGGAAATATCCCCTACACCAAACCCAACCCTAAACCTACCCGATAGTGTTAACAAATGCAAAAGTGATATAAAAACACATTCGCTGATGCAACCGTGCTATTTTAACTTCCTTATGCGGATTTGAGCTGTTTTGTCGAATCGTAGTTTCACGGGGTTCGTACTGGAGCTCTTCATCACTCAAGTGCAACGCCGTATCGCGTGAGCTACCGAACAAACCTACTGAACTAGAAAACTCATGCACATAAAGCTGGATATGTGACGACAACGTTCAAAAGTATCAGTTTTCAAATCTCGCAGCATGTTAAAATAGTTTTGAGTTCATAACATAGTATTCCTCAAGTAATTATGCGAAAATGAGGCTTTATTAATCGAAACTGTGGACCTGCATATCATACTTTGTGTGAAAAGGAATAAAAGTTGTCGCAGTTTTACTGCCCCTAGAGTTCATTTTGACTGGAAACTGTGTTTTTGAGTTTTGCACAAATGTAGGTAGAGGCACGTATTTGTTGCAACTAACTGATGATTTTAATGTAAATCAAGCATCACAAATATCCCGTATTCACGTTTGATAAAAAAAAAAATTATACTGTTTATCAAAACGATGGCAGTCAAAACATGTTTACAATCATTGCATGTGTTATATTAGTGTAGTCGCTGAATGCATCATGTAACTTTGCTGTTCCTCAGAAAACGAGACGGTGGACTCGTCTGAGGTGGAGTTGTCGCAGTTTTACTGCCCCTAGAGTTCATTTTGACTGGAAACTGCAGCGATTCGTGTGTTTTTGAGTTTTGCACAAATGTAGGTAGAGGCACGTATTTGTTGCAACTAACTGATGATTTTAATGTAAAGCAAGCATCACAAATATCCCGTATTCACGTTTGATAAAAAAAAAAAAAATTATACTGTTTATCAAAACGATGGCAGTCAAAACATGTTTACAATCATTGCATGTGTTATATTAGTGTAGTCGCTGAATGCATCATGTAACTTTGCTGTTCTTTCAGAAAACGAGACGGTGGACTCGTCTGAGGTGGAGTTTGCGTGTGGCGTGAGGAAGTGTCCTGAGAAATACACCTGCAGTGGCAGCTGGATTGGGCCCAATGATGGCATCACTCAGTTTGACAACATCTTGTTTGCAGTGCTAACAGTATTTCAGTGCATCACTATGGAGGGATGGACTGCCGTCCTGTACAATGTGAGTTCCTACAGCAGTAACATTTAAAAAAAAGTCAGTTCTATAGTTGACTGACTGGATAATATTTACATTAAAACTCATTGATACTCATCGTTTGTCTTTATTAACATATACCGACCAAACATATGAAGTTATTTACTAAAATGCAGTGAATTATAAATAAATATGACAATATGTTGTCTTTAACTGAATACCTTTGCGAAATATGACAAGGCTGCTGCTTTGACTTATTGATAAAGGATAAAGGACTTCTATAAGAACCTGTATGAGTTGTTATATAAGTGTACTCACTGAATGCATCATATAATATTGCTGTTCCTCAGAAAACGAGACGGTGGACTCGTCTGAGGTGGAGTTTGCGTGTGGCGTGAGGAAGTGTCCTGAGAAATACACCTGCAGTGGCAGCTGGATTGGGCCCAATGATGGCATCACTCAGTTTGACAACATCTTGTTTGCAGTGCTAACAGTATTTCAGTGCATCACTATGGAGGGATGGACTGCCGTCCTGTACAATGTGAGTTCCTACAGCAGTAACATTTAAAAAAAAGTCAGTTCTATAGTTGACTGACTGGATAATATTTACATTAAAACTCATTGATACTCATCGTTTGTCTTTATTAACATATGCCGACCAAACATATGAAGTTATTTACTAAAATGCAGTGAATTATAAATAAATATAACAATATGTTGTCTTTAACTGAATACCTTTGCGAAATATGACAAGGCTGCTGCTTTGACTTATTGATAAAGGATAAAGGACTTCTATAAGAACCTGTATGAGTTCTGTTGAACACAAAAGAAGGTATTTTATAGAATTTGGGTAACCAAACAGATTCTAGTCCCTATCGGCTTCCATAGTGTTTTTTTTTCCATACTATGGAAGTCAATGGCTACCGTCAACTGTTTGGTTGCCAACATACTTCAGAATATCTTCTTTTGCGTTCAGCAGAAGAAAGAAACTCATACAGGTTTGGAACAACTTGAGGGTGAGTAAATGATAACACTATATATTAACAAGCTATAATTACTATAATTTAAAAAAATAAACTATTCTACACTATACACTGTAATGAACAAACATAAACTATAAACATAAGCTTTACTTTATGCATTGATTGCTGTTGTTTCTCCACAGACTAATGATGCTTTGGGGCCCACATGGAATTGGATTTATTTCATTCCTCTCATTATTATCGGCTCGTTTTTTGTGCTCAACCTTGTTTTGGGTGTCCTTTCTGGGTAAGAATTTCACTAATATTTTATCAAAATTGTCATTATTCATGCTCAATGCATATTAAATCGGAGCAAAAAGTCTTAAGTTCATAGTCATGGCATTAAATGTTGCAAACACTGCAGAAATTAGTATCCTCCTCACTATTTTGTTTTTCTTGTTTTCCAAAACTAATATCTAAACATCCATTGAAAGTGAACAAAATAAAGTGAGTTTATCTCTCAGTGGGGCATGAAAACTTTTCCACTTTGAATTAAGTAGATTTTTCTGAGCCCATTGGCAGATATCTGTTTAGAAACTTACTGCATTTTGATCTGTTTCTCAGAAAACATGATTTCTTATGTTTCAATAAAGCACTATATAAATGCATCATTCATTCATTCATTGAGTCATTCATTCTTATGTTGAGGAAACATAATTTTTTTTTTTTTTTTTTTGCATTAGAAGGTAGCGTAAAAGTTATTTCCATATTCTGGTTAAGCTATTTTTAAAATTATATATTTACTTTTTGTGAAATCAATAAAAAAGCAAAGCAGATCTGTTGAAAGCAGGGTTATTATAGTTAACTAAATCTAAAACCTTTTTTTTTTTCTTTAATTGATCTTTAAAAAGTCTTAAATGTACCTTTATAAATCCTGCAGAAACCCTGATTATACTTTTAAGATATGTGACCCTGGAGCACAAAACCAGTCATAAGGGTCAATTTTTGGAAATTGAAATTTATACATCATCTAAAAGCAAAATAAATAAGCTTTCCATTGATGTATGGTTTGTTAGGATCGGACAATATTTGGCCGAGATACAACTATATGAAAATCTGGAATCTGAGGGTGCAAAAAAATCTAAATACTGAGAAAATCATCTTTAAAGTTGTTCAAATGAAGTTCTTAGCAATGCATATTACTAATCAAAAATTAAGTTTTCATATATATTCAGTAGGACATTTACAAAATATCTTCATGGAACATGATCTGTCCTTAATATCCTAATGATTTTTGGCATAAAAGAAAAATCTGTAATTTTGACCCATACAATGTATTTTTGGCTATTGCTACAAATATACCCCAGCGACTTAAGACTGCTTTTGTCCTGCAGGGTCACATATTTATTTGGTGCTTTTGCAAATCTTGAAGGCTCCAGTCCCCAAAAGCACGTACAGATTTTTCAACTGATTTTTAATCTTATGTTCATCCAATAATTTCAAGGTTTGATTTGTAAAAACGAATGCTTATTTTGAAGAATTGACTGAATGAGAGAATTATTGCCTTGTGGTGAGTGTGCAGTGGTGGGTGGGTTGACAAGCGCACTCTCTGGGTGACTGGTTCACTAGGGATTGATTACTGTAGCTGCTCTTGCCTCCACAGCGTTTCTCGGTTGATCACACCTTTAAGGTCAAAACCTGAAAAGCACTTAAATTATGTCCATTCTATTGATCGTTTATTGAATTATTATGTGCATGTGTGTCATATCCTAAATCTATCTCTAGAGAGTTTGCTAAAGAGAGAGAAAGGGTGGAGAACAGACGTGCCTTCATGAAGCTCAGACGCCAGCAACAGGTGGAGCGCGAACTCAACGGCTACCGGGCCTGGATAGACCGAGCAGGTACTGGCATTCATTTTAATCTAAAATATTACTGGTTATGCTACTTATGTTCAGATTTGGCATTTTTCAATGCTTTCTGGATTTGGGGACTTGGTCTGTGTTTGCAAAATATTTGTACAACTGTACAATTTGTGGTTGTTGTTAAGAATAGAGCAATAAAATGTTTATAGATGTATCTTGGAGATTGTTATGAAGGATGCATGTTGCTCTTGCATGCATTCTAGTGTTCGCACTGGTTTATTAGTCTTTTGTCGTTCATGTTGATCAGTCTTGTTGTTTTTAGCATGCCGTTTGTGTGTTTATCACATTTTTTGTCAGATGTTGTGTATTGAACGTCAGGGGTGAGAAACAAGCCTGCAGTTCCTGGCATTGAATGACTCTTTTAAAGGAGTAGTTCACCCAAAAATGAAAATTTGCTGAAAGTTTACACACCCTCGGGTCATCCAAGATTAGGATGAGTTTGTTTCTTCATCAGATTTGTAGAAATGTAGCATTGCATCAGTGTCTCAGCAATGGATGCTCTGCAGTGAATGGGTGCCGTCAGAATGAGAGTCCAAACAGCTGATAAAAACATCACAATAATCCACAAGTAATCCACACCACTCCAGTCCATCAGTTAACATCTGGAGAAGACAAAAGCTGAAACAAATCCAGCATTAAGACGTTTTTAACTAAATTATGGGTCCATAATAACACTTCCTCCAGTGAAAAGGTGTTCTGGTCTGAATCAGGAGAGAAATCTGTACAGATCAAGCACCGTTTACAAGCCAAAACAGCTCTAAACAAATATGAGGCTGGATTGTGATGTGAGAGACAACAGGAGATGGACTGTTTCACTGCAGGAAGCGTTATTATGGATTATGGAGTCATATTTTAACCGGAAGCAAAGGTTTGAAGTAAAAAAATGTCTTAATGATAGATTTGTTTTTTACAAACACACAGCTTTTGTCTTCTCAAGACATTAATTTATGGACTGGAGTGGTGTGGATTATTGTGATGTTTTTATCAGCTGTTTGGACTCTCATTCTGACGGCACCCATTCACTGCAGAGCATCCATTGCTGAGACACTGATGCAATGCTACATTTCTCCAAACCTGATGAAGAAACAAACTCATCCTAATCTTGGATGACCCGAGGGTGAGAGCATTTTCAGAAAATGTTCAGTTTTGGGTGAACTGTTCCTTTAAATAATTTGGTTAATTGAAATACCTTGAAAAATACAGAAGGCTTTCACTGGTCAATAATGAACTGCTGACGAGTTTTCAGAGAAGGGTGGATGATGACAAGTGGCAAAAGTGCTCTTGAGAGAAGAGGAAAGAAGACATCAAGTGATTTTTAGGCCGTTGATGCGGTAATATCTGCTGACGTAACACCTTACATGTGACAGGAGCTTGTAGAAACACACAAAATCCTCTTCATTTGTGATGCTTGATTTTGCTGAATGCTCAAACTTGCACTGCTGCTATGCCAAAGTATCTACAGTCCACTGCTGTGGTATTAGGTGCTTGTTTTAAAATGCAATATTGTTTGTAATCTTTGGCTTTTTTAAATCATTTTTTGGCTCAGTAATTTCAGCCAGGCTAGCGAAGTTTCACTGTCTTTACCCAGGTTCAGTGACAGACTGTGCTCTGATTGTGTACTACACCTACACTACTCTTTTCACATTTCACCCTGCCACCCACCACCTGAGCACAACATTCAGGTGAACATGAGTTTGTGAAGCTGCTCATTCTCCCACGCAGTGAAGGGTCAACGGAAAGGTGACACTGACTCACTGACTGGAGTGTTTGTATATGTGCCTGTCTGTGCTCAGAATAGTTGATGCTTCTACAGTACAGCAGATCACTTTTAAGGGGCCTACAAATTGTCATTTTTTTCACAAACCAAAGTGAATAAACCAATAATTGATTTAATTAATGTTGAGTTAATTATATTCATTGTTAATATATTATATAAATTCTCTCTCTCTCTCTCTCTCTCTCTCTCTCTCTCTCAAAGAGGAAGTAATGCTTGCAGAAGAAAACAAGAATTCTGGGAGATCAGCGTTAGATGGTATGAATTTCATTTTGATAGTACAAATAATTGTGTTACTAAAATGCAAGACTTTTATGTGAAATTAAAAATGTAAAAAAAAAAATCAGATTTAAGGACTGCTGTTGTTGATTATTATGCTATTAATAATCGTATATTTATAACCTGGGGAAGAGTTAAAGATAGCATAAAATGATCTTCTTCTAGGCTGAGCCTATAAACATAGATTACCTGTTTTCAGAAAATAATTTTGAAAATGTGTTCATAGGTTAGAAATTAATTTTTGCAGTTGTGAGACTATACCTACAAAACAAATTTAGGTTATACAAATGTGGTGCAAACATTGTTTCTAAAATGTTGAAATGTCCAGTTTTTAATTTTTAAAAAAAGTTTTCTTACAACATTCTACTACAATGATTTTACCCAAAATATAGCACAATTTAATTATTTTAAATATTCTAAGAATTTAAAATGTCCAGTTTTATTGTTATGATTGTAACATTATTTAAGGGTTACAATAATGTTTCTTATAACATTCATCAGGTACAAATAACATCATATATAGCTTTTAAAAACATTAAAGAAAGTTGTGAGAATGTTCCTTGTTAGCTGGGTAATAGCAGCTACAACAAATACTTCCAGACAGTAACAGCATATTTGTATATTCTCCTAACTACTAAACCTTTATAATAAGAAACATAAGGCCAACAAGTGGTGCCATTTAACGCTTTTCATTTTTAGTTTTGAAACGGGCCACCAGCAAGAAAAATGCAAGGCGTCGAGGACCAGGGGAGGAGAAATATTCTGAAGTCTCTACAGTTGGTGAGTAAAATATAAATGCCACCTCTTTGTTTTCATCCACATTAAGACTTGACATGTTTTACACTGTGTAATCTTTTTTATGTTTGAGATACAATTCAAAATGTGTCATCTTAACAATTTGTCTGAAAGGAAGGAAACAACCACTGTCAACACACATTCCATAAACTCATCTCCATCTTTCAGGCTTTTGAAATAACTCCGCTGACTTTCTAATAGGAAACAAAGATTAAATTTCTAATGACATTCTGTGAGACTATGGATATATCGAATATTTTTTTGGGGTGTCAGGTGGCCCCCGCCCGAGGGTTGGTATACGGACAGCGAGACGAGGGCCGGCTGCTTACATGCGGCGCAAGGAACGCATGTTGCGGATATCTATTCGTCGCATGGTTAAAACCGACAGCTTCTATTGGATAGTCCTCAGTCTGGTGGCGCTCAACACCATCTGTGTTTCCATCGTTCATCACAACCAACCGGAATGGCTCACTATTATTCAGTGTAAGTATCTCATTCACCCCAATACTACTGCTGTACTAATAGTAATAATCATTATAATAATTCATAAATGGTATGAATTTATTGGCATTAAATCTGAAGTCTGTGCAAGCAGTTTTACTAATTTTATCATTCATATTACTTTCAGGTGTAGATGAGGTTTTGGGGTTTTGTTGATCAAATATCTTAAGTTGCATTTGTTTTCAGATTTGCATCAGGTTAGTGTAGGAAGATGTTGATAATAATAATGCATTCAAATAATGCATAAACATCTGGTAATGCTTGGACACAGCGGCCACTCCTGAGCTATACAAACATGCTAATTTGTGTTGCTACAACCATTTTTTCCCTATTAATATTATGACCTCCAGAATAAAGCTGTGTGTCATCAGCATAGCAATGATAGGAAAAACCATGTTGCCTGTATGATGGGTCCCAGTGATGTAGTGTATATAGAGAAGAGGAGGGGTCCAAGAACTGATCCCTGAGGAACACCAGTGACCAGTTGATTTGACAGGAGGATCTGATGATTCACAGTGACATAAGCAGCAGATACATCTAGCAGAATGAGCACTAATGATTTGGACTCAGCTCTCGCCCCCATAGCATGTCTTTATCCCAACTTCGGGCATCGTTGGTCAAATCTACATCAACTTATGAGAACAATGTTCAGAGCATTTCTCCACCCCCACTCTGTCCTCTTTTCCACACTGCAGATCCATGCGTATCAGCCACAGAATTAGTCATGACATCCATCAAAGTGTGCAGCAGCCTCACCACTGTTTGTTGAGGAGTATGACCCATTGTAACATTAACAGATGTGTAGATGATGTTATTGCCCCACTCTAACCATATTACTCAACTGAAAACTATGGATAAATGCGCAGGTTCCTTGCTTGACTCCTTACTTGAGACACATTTTGCAGTTTTTTACATATCTGGTGACAAAACAAAATAATAAAATGCAAGCGTATGTATAGACAGAGAGTCAAGGATCTCTTGGATATTGACATCTCAGTCAACAAAGTGGTGGCAGTGTTGTTTCACACAACTTCAAGACAGCATGCAGACATGAGGTGAGAGACCTTTAGCTGTGGTGCAAGGACAACAATCTGGCTCTAAATTTCATTGAAACCAAAGAGATTATTGTTTTTCCAAGGTGATGTTGAGGTAAAGAGGTAAAATGGATACTTCACCCAAAAATGAAAATTCTCTCATCATTACTCACCTCCAAAGTGGACGCTTCAAATACCACACAAAGTGAACAAAACGGTAATCCATACAACCCCAGCTGACAAATCAGTATTTTCTGAACGGAAAAGAAGACTTTAAACCTTTTAACTATGAACCATAGCTTCCGGCCAACTGTACTAGGTTGATACTTGACGTAAATTGATTAATTAACTGAGGTTGTATGAATTACCATCATGTTTACTTTGTGATGTTTTATGTGTGATGTCAACTTTGGGCATCCCATACACTTGCAGCATATGGACTCACAGAGATGGATTCTTTTTCATCTGAAGAAAGAAAGTCATATACAGCACATCTGAGAATTTCCATTTTTGGGTGGAGTATGCCTGTAACAGAGAAGACCTCACCTAGAACACCCCCATTTTGGTAAAAAAGGACCAACATTGACTGCACTTCTTCAAGAGACTCAGAAAGACATGAACACACTCATCCTCACAAACTTCTACAGATGTGTCATGGGAAGAACCTGTTATACTGTTTGACAACTGAACCGAAATACATTACAGCCGATGTCATAGACTGCACAACGCATCAGCAGATCGAGGCATTCACTCTGCGCCCAAAGAAACTACACACATTTTGAAGGACAGCATCCGCCCCTGGTCTGTTCCCTCTACAACCATCAGGAGGAGACAGCAAGCCTAAGGAACAGTTTTTCCTGGGCTTTCAAGCTACTTAAACAGATCATCTCCCTGTTCCTTACCCCTATGCACATGCCCCATCCTACCTGAAAGACACTTGTCTTCTCCAAAACAGCTATGCCCGTATATATTATACTTTATTCTTTATAGGGTCACAGGGGAGTGCTGGAGCTCATCTCAACACGGGAAACACCTTGAAACTAATACATACTCACAAATTTACACTCTCACTAACACCTTCAGGCAATTTTAACATCTCCGAGTAACCAGACCCAAATGCCTTTGGACTGAGGGAAACTGGAATAACTGGTAGAAACCAAAGCTGACATTTAGAAAATATTCCCAACCGTTCCTTTTAGCATCTTAGGGCCAGATTTTCTAAACAGGGCACATGAGAGCACAAACCCATAAAAGTGAAAAGTGTAAAATTGTGTGGGTGATTTACTGACAATTTGCAAATAAAAAGAACACCGACACAGCCAGCACATTTCGATGATGACCAATCCAGTCTACCAAGAGCATGGGTTAAGACATGATTTTTTGGGGGGTGATAAACAATGGTGCAAATACCAAAATAAATTGTCTGCTGCAAGACCTTAGTAACATTGCATGATTCATTTAAATACTCTCCTACCATAAATTTTGCATCTGAAAGGGAAACTCCTACAAATGCATATGCAATAAGGTCAGCCGCCAAAAATAACTGCTTTTGCACTGCATGCTGTTTTTTTTTTTACATCAAAAGAGGGTTTGCGCTGGCACAAGCTGTTAGTAAATCTGGCCCTTAGGGTTGCATTTTACCAGATGCATTAGACCGGGATCATTCGGTTTGCTAATCATATTCATTGTTTGAAAATAAGTTTTGTGGAGAGTTCAGAAAATGATCAGTAGTTTAAATACTCTCCTACCATAAATTTTGCATCTGAAAGGGAAACTCCTACAAATGCATATGCAATAAGGTCAGCCGCCAAAAATAACTGCTTTTTCACTGCGTGCTGTTTTTTTTTTTACATCAAAAGAGGGTTTGCGCTGGCACAAGCTGTTAGTAAATCTGGCCCTTAGGGTTGCATTTTACCAGATGCATTAGACCGGGATCATTCGGTTTGCTAATCATATTCATTGTTTGAAAATAGTTCAGAAAATGATCAGTAGACGGCCTCAGGGTTTGTCTAATGCAAGTCAAACAGCTCATGGTGTATATAACTGGAGCACCATCTGTTACCCAGAATGAAAGAATAAGTGCTGTTTAGCAATAGTGTTTGCCTTTAGGAGAGGGGTGTCCAATCCTGTTCCTGGAGGACCAACGTCATGCAGATTTTAGTTCCAACCAGCTCCAACACACTTGCCTAGATATATCTAGTGAGTCTAACTAGCCCTTGATTAGTTGGTGTTTAGTTAGGGTTGGAGGGTTGAACCATTTCGACCAAGGAGGACCCCCGGAACAAGATTTTGGAGTGTTTTTGATTTTTTGGGAAAATGAGTTTTGGCCATGATCGTGCTCGTTTTGAGTAGCAATTGGTCTAGTTTGGTTACACAGACCTGGCAACCCTGTTGCACAGTAAAAAAGAGTGCGAATTGCTGGTCTCTTACTGGTCACTGCATTGTACATAAAGCCACAATTTAAGATTTGGTTTTATTCTGTTCACAAATAAATAAACAAACTAACTAACCAACTAACAGCATCGTCATTGGACATGCATAACACTAATACTAGTCACTAAAAATGTAATTTATTTGTTGAAATCTGGAAGCCGTAGAAAGAACATATTTTTGTTTTCATTAACCAACATACAATATAATAAAATATTTTTAATTATTCATGTCCTTTATTCATTAAAATACATTATATCAACATAAGGCAAATGGCAGTGATAATATCATTGCAATTAACGTCTAATTATTGGCTGAAGGTTGCAGGCTTGCCTTCCAGTGGCTTTGGTTTAACTCTGCTCCACTGGGGATTGGACAGCCCTGATCTATGGTGCTCAAGTTAGCTTTCAGTCTGATCACAAACTCCTCAAAGCATCGTCTGAATGTTGGTTCTGATAAAAACATCTGCAGCACTGCTTGCAGCTCTGAAAAGCACATTTTATTAGGAGACATGCTGCAACTAGCAGAAGCACTTCAGGGCAACATTATGTTCTCCAGTGAAACTGCTGCTAATAAAACGAATACACAAAAATAGGCCTGTCAAGACAGAAAAATGCCCCACTCTGCTGCTCCACATGTCAGAAACGTTCTGTGTATTGATGACGGACATTCACTTAATGGTCCCTGCAGGTCTAAGAGTTGCTGAAATTACTCCATACGGCACAACAGGACATCCAGCACTCTGTAGATCAAGGCAGGTGGTGTTGTCACGAAAGCTTAAGCTGTCAGTGTCCCTGCATTTTTATTTCAAAAGACAAGCAGATACCTTTGTCTGAGTTGACACCATATGCATGTTTTATGAATGACAACAAGGATGTACCTAAGGTCAAATGCTGTATTTTAAAAATCTCAAATAATGACTAAAAACAAATACCTATTTGTATAACAAAACCCACCAGAACTGTCATGGAGTTTCATTGATTTTAATGGGAGCAATGTAGTTTTGGTGCTCGCTGCCTGAGTAGACATGGTATTAATACTTCAAAAACCCAGCCTACAGTAAGTGTTTACCTCTTCAGAAATGTTTTGACTCTTAAATGATTTTTACGGTTTTCAGACTACGCAGAGTTCGTGTTTCTTGGACTTTTTCTTGCTGAGATGTTTCTGAAAATGTATGGCCTTGGTTTCCGTCTCTACTTCCATTCATCCTTTAACTGCTTTGATTGTGGGGTGAGTGAATCTTTTAGACTTCACGTTTTAAGTGTTACTGTAGGTGTTTAAGTTATGTGCTTCAATTTAAAAAAGTTACATGGAGGTCCTTAGAGGACAAAAAGGTGTGTGAGAAAACTGTCATAAAAATATGATATATTATAATATTATAAATATTATACACAATGACATAGATTTTTATGATCAGCCCTGATCATAACTACCAAAAATGTATTGGGTTTCAGGTTTATACCCTTTAAACGTGGGTTTGTTTACATAATGCCACTGTATTTAATGTATAAAAATGCTTGTTTTTGGCCAGAATGATGCTGTTTGCAATTTTAAAAAGATAGAAGAAAGAAGAAAATGAAAAAGACAAAAATGTTCCTAACAACACAAGGGTTAAACCAGAGCATTTTCCAGTAAAAATAAATAAATAAATAAAATCCTGCGAACCATAAGTCTGATGAAACCTAATAAAAGCATGATGTTGTGTTTTGTGCAGGTGATTGTGGGTAGTATTTTTGAAGTGGTTTGGGGATTCTTCAGGCCTGGAGAGTCTTTTGGCATCAGTGTCCTCAGAGCTTTACGTCTGCTACGAATCTTTAAGATAACAAAGTAAGTTTATAACATTTGTCCAAGTAGTATCTTGGCATTCTTTCAAGGAATTTTTTTTGCATGCTAGCCACCAGCAAATGCAAATATTCACATTAAACTACATCTAAAGACATCAGCAGGCATATAAATAGTGTCTGCAACATTCTCTCTCAACTACAACACCGGTATAAAAGTATAATTGGTACTATGAGAAGCACGTTAAAATCCAGTCATAAGTTCTTGCTGCTTATGTGTGAACTGTCCAAAGGCATTATTTAAATTAAATAGCAAATGCATAATGAAAAGCAATGTGTAAAAGCAACATAAATGCTCAATTTAAAAAGAATGTATCAATTTATTTTGTTATTGTTAAATTTTAACTACAGTTTCAAACATAAATAATGCCTATTTATTTGTCAGTTTGAAAAAAATATTCACATTATTTTTTTTATTTGATTTATCAACAGAGGTTGTTTAAAAAATGCATTCATAATTAATTTATTTTGTTGTAAATCGTAAGACTCGGACACAAATATGATGAAATGCTGAAATATAGGACAAATTCATTTTATTTAATTTATTCTCTTGAATATGTGATAATTCCATATTATACTGGACGGTTGGCATTCAATTCATTTTCACATGTAATTGCGTTTAAACAATCAGGCTCTTGTGAGAATCTTGTGAGACACTTTAACAGTAGTGTACTGTATGGTCAAATAATGGCAGTGTAAAGAAACGTGTGATATTCTCTATGTTTGATCAGGTACTGGACATCCTTACGGAACTTGGTGGTTTCCCTCATGAGCTCCATGAAGTCGATCATCAGTTTGCTCTTCCTCCTCTTCCTGTTTATCGTAGTCTTCGCTTTACTTGGAATGCAGCTGTTTGGTGGAAGGTGAGAACGTGAGAGAGTCATTCTTACAGACAAACATAAAAATATACTGTACTCAAATGTGAAAACAAAATGTTACAACAATTTATTCAAATATACAGTTCAAAAGACTTTGAAGGAAAACAAATGAATTTAAATGAAGCCTCGAGACCAACCTACCTACTCTAACACCTCACAATTTTCACACACTGTGTTAACTAGTTGATTACATAACTTGAGCAATGACTAAAAACTAATGACTCGGTCTCGTCTGACCGATACCCCGATCCGGCAGAAAATGCCAGTATCGGAGCGATACCGATACTGAATATCGGATCGGCGCACCCCTAATTATAAGCGAACCACACTGCATGCATGCAGAAATATGAAACATTATCTTACATGACAATGCAAGCAGCATGCTTCTGTCAATGAAGAAATGCACACTTTTGTTTCCCACCTACATCATTTCAGTTATGTGGACATTCTCTCCGCTCACACACTTTTCATCAGTGCACCATTGGACCTGCCAGAAACAGCAAAGACACTGATGCTGCATGACATATTGTGAGAGATTTCTATAAGGTACATTCTGACCCGCTGAATAGTTGACTAGTGAAACTGCATAGCTTTAACATACACAGATGCAAATTGCCACTGGCTCACCAGAGCGATGTGTCTGTGCTTCAAGCTATAACAAATGGTTACTTACGCAATCTGCATCAATATGGATGCTCATAAGTATAAAATAACAAACACAAATGTCATTTTAACTAAAGCCATTGAAACACTTCTTTCTCTTGCAAAGGTTCATCTTTGAAGATTACACTCCTACTAATTTTGACACGTTTCCGGCTGCCATCATGACCGTCTTTCAGGTAAGACTCCACAGAGATCACTAAGCATGTAAACATAGTAAATAATTTTGAATCGTAAACTTATGTTCACTTCATATTCAGCTTAATTATATTATTTAGTATGAGTACAAAAATTTATTTAATTGACATTGCAAGCCTTAACTTTGATATTATTTAAACTGCTTTTTTTTTTTTTTTTTTTTTTGAT